GACACCACGTGACCTACCGCCACGCAGGCGGAATGGCTCGCGTTGTAGAGGCGCACCTGTAGTACGCGCAGAGGGCAAAAGAACGAGGACAAGCGTTTTTGCTTGGGTTTGAGCACAAATTTGGAACCTGCCATAATTCTTTGTTGTCGGTCCACATCAAAGTACGGCCGATAGCACAATGCGAAGGCGCTCACCTTCAAGCCGATCGCCGGGTCGAACGGTGAAGAAGGCACGGACGTGATCGGATCCTTGTTCTCGTGGATGGCCTCGTACAAGAGTGCCGAGGCAACGGCGTCCCTGATGGCGTAGTCTCGCTGTTCATCGGACAGACGAGGGCTCCCCCAACGGGAGCATCGAACAGTATCTTTCGGCAGCTGCCTCCCCACGAGGCACGCCGTCAAGCCGGCGAGTGTTCGAGACGATGTCACCACCAACCTGGAAACGGCGAGGACACGCAGGTCCACCGTGCTCGCCATTTTCACGCCATAGTCGTTGAGCATATGCGTGGCATCCGTGTTGATGGCAACACCAGCCTGCACAGAGGAAACATCGAGTCGCCGAGTCGGCGTTCAAATAGTATCATGNTAGTCGTTGAGCATATGCGTGGCATCCGTGTTGATGGCAACACCAGCCTGCACCGAGGATACATCGAGTCGCCGAGTCGGCGTTAAAATTGTATCAAGAGGAAGACGCTCACAAGACGGATGCTCAAATATACCGTACCAACCTTTCAAGAGCAGCACCTACATGGAGTACAACATCTATCGCATTCAAACCTCACGCGCATATGCTGTTGCTGTTGTCTCACCTTGATGATGCTGGAGTCCTCGAGAAGAGCCTTCAGGGGAGCGGGAAATGTTTCCTTCGTAAAACCAGAGCTCCCTCTCTGCAGGTGGAAGAGGAACGACGGCCCCCTCAAAGCCGCAATCTGGAAGGTCGCTACAGGTTCCCGCCCACGAGGTGAAAACTGCCACTCTGCGTCCGCTCCGCACACCATCTTTCCCTCCACTCGATTTAGGCTGATGATCTGACGGAGGGAGCCGCAGGCAGCGGCTACCGCCTCCGGGTCGTACACGATGGCAGGGGTGAACTCCAGATCCAGCGGTGGCAGGAGCTCCAACTGAACTCCGGCGTCCACCTCGTCTTCCAGATGAAGACTGATCCCCGTTGCCTCCTCAAACTCGCGAAATACCCGTTGCAGCAGTTGACGGTCATCACAGCAGTCATCTGACAAAGTTATGCGTCACGCGTCACGCCACGGGGCCGGAAAGGATTGAGGAGACAATACTGCAAAATCACTGCGAAAATAGCAGGCCTGACACCGGTCTACAACCTCGAAAAGCGAAGCAAGTCTTCGATCATTTCGCAAATTACCTGTGTTCCAAAGAGTAAAAACCTTGAAGCCATTGCGAACGAATCGGTTGAAAAAAGGCTTCAACTCCTCCACCAGCTCGCTCAAGGCACCCGTCTTCATCGGACGCTGCCAGACCACCTTCAAATAATAACACACGTGTGTCAAAACGAAAGTTTTTCGGGTCATCAGAATGAGCGCAACATACACGAGTCTAATTTTTCGGTGATTGCTCCAGAAAACATGGCACCAACACAAAAGGGTTTGGGGATGATTGAACGAAACAGAGACGGGAGATTCACCTGCTCATATTCATTGAAGACTGTGAACAAGCCGTACACTGGCTTTGAGCGCTCCTCGCCCGCTCTTGCCCCGAGCCGGATGATCTTCGCAAACTTGAACGAAGCATCCCCACTCAAAACCTCTCCGTCCCAGCGCTGCATCAAGCGGTGCTGATACTCCTCCAGGGTCCAACCCACGCCATCCACCTCCAGCACAGGGAGTTTCGAGTAATACAACCACCACACGTCCCGCAAATAGTGCTCCGACGGGACCGCACCGCCGTACTTTGTCGAGTCATCAAAGCTGCCGAACCTCTCCGGAGTTTTGGCGTGGTTGGCCGAGCGGAAGATGCCCGAGCTGGTCCGCCGTGAGTTGACCAGAGAGGTGTACTTTAGCTGGTCCACCATGAACTTGGTCGTATGCGCCTGCAACAGCATCACGAGGACGACAAGTTTTCGTTGTGAGATCCGACATTTCCCGCAGCAAAGTTTGGGGTACCATCCGAAAACGTTTTGAGCAGGCTAGGAAAGCCAAGACCAGACCAACCCATTATCTTTAAGACGCTGCAGATGAGAAAATGCACATTCACCTGACAAATATTCTTGGCAGCAGCGGAGAAGCCCTTCGTTATCTTTAAGACGCTACAGATGAGAAAATGCACATTCACCTGACAAATATTCTTGGCAGCAGCGGAGAAGCCCTTCCCATGCACTAGATCATCTGCAAGCCGGTCCACCATGCGAATCTCAATACCCGATCGCTTGGTGAGAAGGGAAGGGAACTCCTTGGAGATGTACTCCGGGAGACGCTGGAGACACCCAGCATCCCACGCGTTGAAGCTCGTCTTGCGCTTTTCCGCCTCCTCCTTGCCTTGATTGAACTTCGCGCACTTCGCACACTTGTACCTGCACATGCATGGGAGAAAACATGCACCACGAGCAATATCGTCGGAAAACCACGACACGAACTCCAATCCAAGAGAAATCCAGAATTCGGATGGCACGAACATGACTGATGAAGTTTATCGAGCGAAAACTCTTCACCGGATGCTGAACTTACCGAAACCCCATGATGTACGCCACGTCGTGCTCCATGAACACCCGGCGTGGCCCCTTAGGGTTCCAGCCATCAGGTGCGCCCTTGCCCCCACATCCCGGACAAGGAACTGCCTGGAGCTCTGGGAACAAGAACTCCGGTATCCATACCAATACCGCCTTCTGATAAAACCAGTCGACTTCCGGTAGGCCTGGGCACGCGTAAATTTGAGGTAGATATGTCAGAACATCAGGCACGCGAGAAAAAAAAATTAGCCACCGGGGGAAGCATGTTTTTTTTCTGGACGATTTAATCCGAAAAGAACGATGAATAGGCAGAGCTATACACTCCCCTCCAAAAAAAAAATTCCTCTGGCGTACCTGGTGATGGTTGAAAAGTGGCGCACTTCGGACGGACGAGCGGGTTGTCAAACGGGAACCGGCCTTTCACACCACCTCCCTCGTGGGTGATACTCTGGTCGATCTTGACCTTCACGTCTTGAAAGAAGCGTTCTTGCGCACTGGATGTTGAAGTATCATCATCGCCGGCCCTTCCACCGGCGGCTCCTCCAGCCCCACGTCCTCCTGCTCCACGACCTGGCGCTGCTGCCCCTCGCCCCCCTCCTCCACGTCCCCCACGGCCGCTCATCCCCCCTCCTCTACCTCCTCCACGGCCGCTCAGCCCCCTTCCTCGTCCTTGTTGGCGCGCTACGTGGTCTTGACGTCCGCTTGCTGCTGGTCTCGCCGCTGCCGCCCCCGCGGCGGCGGCTACTTCGGCTGCTGCTGCTGCGAGTTGTGCCGATGTTGCTGCCCCTGTTGCGGCCTCTGGTGCCGCTGTTGATGCTGGTAGTAACCCCTCACCTATTTGAGAGGATAGCACTGCAGGAGCTGCCCCCCCGCGTACTTGGGAGGCTTCATCAGCACGGGCTCTACCCTTGCCCTTGCTTACCGCCGCCACTGCTGCTGGTGCTGCTGCTGTTGCTGCTGCTGCTGTTGCTGCTGCTGCTGCTGCTGTTGACGTTGCTGTTGTTGTTTCGAGCTCAGTTGGTGCTGTGGCGGATCCTTCCCCTATGGTTGGGAATGGTGGTGCCCGAGCTTCCTCGCCGTCTACTTGAGGGTGGTTACCCTCATCGTCCAAGCCAGGAGGCGACTGCTGCTGTTGTGTACCGGCGGGAGGTGGAGTGGACTCGCCGATGGTTGGTGCCGCCGTGCTTGATGAACCACCAGCAGAATCTCCACTTACGTCGACATCGCCGGCGGATGACGCGCTTCTAGCACCCGCACTGCTTCCCTCCACACTCTGGTCTTCACTCACCCGTTGCCGCTTTGATGATGGCTGGGCTTGCGGGAACCGGGAAAGCATCCTTGCGAGCGACTCCGCCTGCTTCTTCTTCTGCGCAGCTATCTTCTTCCTCTCCGCATTCGTTTTCCGACCCGATTTATTTGAGCCCTCCGAGGGCTTTGAGCCTTGATTTCGCCCCATTGGGAGCGCTGACTCCACGGTTGCTGGGTGGGAGGACTGTTGTGCTTTCCGTTGTGGTCTGTGTTGGGTGTCATGTGTTGGGTGGTGTCATCATGTGTCTCGGCTGCAGCGGCCCAATGTTGCGGCCCAATGTTGGTGCTTCGGGCCCAATCAGCCGCCGTCGTTTTTCATGGTCTCGCCGTCGTTTTTCATGTGGGATGTGTTGATTGACCAATGAGATTGCGTCGTTTTTCATTTTTTTAGCCCTACCTATGGGCCCTGTTCCGAAAAATGGGAACGTACCCAAAAATGAGAATTATTGGCGTTTTTCTTCAGAACCATCGGGTGTATCACAGAACCAAAATTATCCTGCG